GGAAGCAACCCAAGTACCCATCCATAGACAAGAGGATAAAAAAAGATGGTACGTTTACAATGGAATATTACTATCATAAAAATAAGAAAATGTTACCATTTGCAACAACATGGATAGACTTACAAAGTATTATGCACAGTGAAATAAGTCAGTCAGAGAAAGACAAATACCATATGACTTCACTTATATGTGGAATCTAAAAAACAAAATAAACAAGCAAAATGGACTCACAGACACAGACAGCAGACTGGTGGTGGCCAGAAGGTAAGAGGTTAGGGGATTGGATGAAAGACAAGAAGAGATTAAGAAGTACAAGTTGATAGTTACAAAATAGTCATGGGGACGTAAATAAAGTACAGCATAGGGAATATAGTCAATAATATTGTAATAACTATATATGGTGCCAGATGGGTACTAGAAATTTCAAGAATACTCTGTAAAATATGTAATTGTCTAACTACTATACTGTATATGTGAAACCAATACAAAATAATATTGATAGTAAACAATAATTGAAAATTAAAAATTTAATGTGCCTTAAGCTCTAGAACTTGTAGTAAAAGGCTGATGTTCTCTGTGCACTATGTAGAATCTTAAAGTTTTATTTTAAAAATTATATAAGGCCAGTTTTTATGAGAAAAAATACTAAGAGACAAAGCAAAATTTCAAGAATAAAAATGCCGATATTAGAGGAAAGCAATAAGACCTGGCAGGTAGTTCTGGGGTTCCCATGGTGACATTTGTTTCTGATCATACATGTGCAGGTGACCCTTGAACAACATGGGGGACTTAGTGGGTGCCAGCCACCTGCAAAGTTGAAAGTCCATTTATAATTTGAGTCAACCTTCTGCATATGCAGATTCCCAACTGTGAATCAAAAATCCAAGGTTAGCTGAATCCTGGGTACAAAACCTGGATATATGGAGGGCCAACCATATTATTTATTGAAAAAAATCTGCATACAAGTGGACCCATGCAGTTCACACCCATGCTGTTCAAGGGTCAACTACAAAATTAAATACTTTCGTCTCCATTTTTAAAGGCTTTTAAGAAAGGACATAAACCAGTTTCACTTTATCTCTAATTTGATATCCAAAGGCATATTTTCTAGTTTTTACAGTCTTGATTACCAGAAATAAGAAACAGCTCTTTAAAATAAACCTTTAAGTTCCTGGCTACTTTAATTCCCTCTCTGGCCCCAGTTAGTGTGCCTAGTTGTTTGGAGCATCATCCTGTAAACTGAAAGGTCCTGGGTTTAATTCCTGGTCAGGGCATGTGCCTAGGTTGTGGATTCAGTCCCCAGGGTGCAAGGGAGGCAACCAATCTCTCCCCACCACCACCACACTCTCTCCCTCTCTCTCTGGAAAAAAACCTCATCATCTTTAAAAAAAGAAAAAAAATCCCTCTCTGTGCCTCAACACATTTTAACAGGAGATCCCAAGAAGTTCTTATTCTTCTTCATACCTAGGCATAGTTACTTTCCATTGTCAGTAGCCTGATTTATCTATACAATAGTCTATCATTTTCACAAAGTGCAAATAAGAAATATACAAAATTTGATATTTTGTTTAAATGCCCAACTTCCCTTTAACAAAATGTGTATTACATTTTGATACATGAATTCCAACACCACCAAGCAATTAAATTATCTATCTACCTGAAGATAAATCACAGATGTCACACATTAAAGGTTCAGTCCTACAAGACTCTCCCTATACACCCAACTTTAGATGCCAATCACAAGTCCAGACTGTTACCTGTGCTTCTGACCAAGCTGGCTATAAACTAAAGGTTTCCACACACGCTCCTCAAGATCAATTAATTTGGAAGATGTGAAGAACAAGACCAATCAAGTATATAAAACAAAATGGAGTCACTCATGTCAACACAGATGGCTGCCAGTCAGCCATGACACTTTGTTCAAGAGGGAAACCACTGTATTTGCTGTGTATAATGCATTCCCATGTATAATGTGCACCCATGTTTTTGGCCCAAACTTTCAGGAAAAAAATATTTCATTTTAATTTTGAATTCAATTATTTATTGATTTATATTTATAAAACAAAACCAATTATTATAATCCAGGATATTATTTTGCATATGGATATCATTATTGCTTTCAAGGATTGTATTTTTAATGCCTAAGCATAAATTAAAGAATTTAAAGTATTTATATCGATAAGGAATTAGTATTACTATGTATAATGCACATCCTTATTTTTCCCTCAAAAATTTGGACAAAAAAGTGCATCATATACAGCAAAATACGGTACCTAAGTCATGTGAGACACAATTGGCAGGTAGACACACCTAAGATATCTGAACACATGATCAGAACAGCCTTGTCTGCAGAGTGGGATCACCCATAGATAGGTTCCTGGAGAAATTCCCCACTTGACACCAGGGGTGCCAAGACACTCATCAAGAAGCCCAGAGGGATGGAGTCTACCACCCTCAAGGTATAATTGAGGCAGGCTCCAGACCACTGCTGAGACAGCAAGCTCCACACACCAGAGTGCTGCTCCACGCCATGGCATGGGCCACCAGAAGCTCTGCCCTGCCCTGCTGGTCTGAGGACTTCATCTGCCCTGCTGCCCACCAGGCTCTAGAGATCCTTCCTTGCAAGACAATGATGGCTCCCTTGCACACCACCATGCTGTCCCTCAGACCCACAGACTGAGACTCTGGGGGTTGAATTCATTATTCCCCAATTCTCTCATGTGATGTTATTACTGATTGTTTCTGAGTGATTAGTATTGTTATTACATTAGTATAGATTTGGATTAAATCTGCATTAATTAAAGCTGAGCAAACCTGCATTAATAGAGTCTGAATGAATAGCAGTCACCTTTGTTGGCTCCCTGTTGTTTTTTGGTGGTGGCATCACCTGTAGGACTAGTGGCCGTACAAGGGGCTCAGCACTTTTGGTTCTTAAGGCCCAAATCAGAGGATCTGAGTTGGGACCAAAGGCTGACTTATAGAAAAGGCTATGTCACGAACTTATGCTGGTGACATTATAGTAGCTCACAGAACTTGTAACAGAGTTAAATACTAGGTCTCTCAGACTCCATATTATTCCAGCCTGCATTGTTCCATGGCCTTCAGGCCAATAGTTCCTGCCATAGACATGCTAATTATTAGAGGAATTCTGGTTGAGTTTTAAAATGTACTGGCTGGGTGACTCGGTTGTAGCATCATCCTGTACACCAAAAGTCTGCGGTTTCTATTTCCAGTCAGGGCACATACCTAGGTTATGGGTTTAATCCCCAGATGTGGTGCATACGGGATGCAACCAATTGATGTTTTTCTTTGATACCAATGTTTCTTTCTCTCTCTTTCTCTCCCATTCCCTCTCTCTTCCTCTCTCTCTAAAATCAATAAAAATATATCCTCAGACTAGGAACAAAGAGATTTAGAGATTTCTCAGTCTCCCTGGAAACCTTGTTGGTGCCCAGATGTCTTCAGTCATCAATCACCTATTGCCCCTCCCGTTTTTCTTCCCTTTGATATAAAAAAAAAAAAAAAAAGCCTGAACTCAGTACTTTCTTCAGATGGATTTGAGGAACTACTAAGGTCCCCCATCTTCTTGATCAACAACCTTTTCCTTACTCCAAACTCTGACGTTTTGAATTTTGGGTGTTTGAAGCATCAGGAACAGTGAACTTGGGGCCAGTAACAAACTCAGAGAAACATTTACATACTTATCTTTACCAGTTTACTATAAAGGCTAAGATAAACAATACAGATAAACAGCCAGATGAAGAGATACAGAGGTGAGGTGTGTAGGAAGGGACACAGAGCTTCCTGCGTCTCTGGGGGAATGCCACTCTCCTGACATCTCAGTGTGTTCATTAACCCATGAGTTCTCCAAACTCCAGTCCTTTGGGCTGTCTGTGGAGGCTTCATTACACAGGCATGAATGATTGAATCTTTGCCTATCCCATGATTGACTCAACCCCAGCCCCTCTCTCCTGCTCCCCAGATGTCAGAGGATGGGATTGAAAATTCCAGCCCTCTAATCACGTGGCTGGTTCTCCCATCCTTAAGCTACTAGAGGCTTTTCAAAAATAACCTTATTAATGGAAAAAAGGCACCTTTATCACTCTCCTTACTTAGGAAATTCCAAGGTTTCAGGAGCTCTGTGCTACAAATGGGGACCAAAACCAAATATACATGTATTTATTATAAATCACAATATCATAGGTAGTAAGAAAAGGAATTTTAAATTAGTTGTGTCCCCATTACCAGCCACTGAGAGAGACATATTCGTACCCATTTATAAAAATACACACAAAGGCAGACAACTACACCACCACATGCTCCCAAGCCTCCAACAACCAACACACACTAGGGAAGCACTGAAAAGACAGACACAGACCTTCAGAGAGATACTAAAGAAGAGACAAAAAGAACAAAAAAGAAGAACGTGTATTACGTGGAAAGGATGGACAGCTACTCAGGACTGGCAGCCAGTAGCACATCCCCACGTACAGGTGTCAGGCAAGACCAGGGAATCCCACTGGAGAGTAAGTGCGTGTGTTTGTCTCTCACAAACACACTCATACACTCGTGATCTCACAGTCTCTTACACGTACAATTTCGTATACACAATTTCTCACTGATTTATGCACTTGCAAGTGTGCATAGTTATGCACTCTCAGTATTGCAATAATCGTCTAGGCAGGGGCTCTCCCGAAGCAAGTTCTTTACATGAACCAGACAGCTAAACTTCATTTTAAAAGTAAAAAAATCAAAGTAGCTTTCAGTCTGTACCAAAGGCATTCTAACACATCAGGTATGTTCGAAACTAGGCAAGAAATTTAATAAAAGTTATGCAAGTTATGCACTCTCATACACACTCTGTCACAAACGCAGTCTGTTAGGTACAGCTGATCTGACAAACGCGCGAAAACACACCTATCCTCGCTCTCCCGTCTCGCAGACGCCCCGTCGGCCCCGCCCCCGCCGTGGCCCCTCCTCCGTGGGCTCCGCCCAGGCGACCGGGGGTTGAGGCGGAGCCGGTACTCACGGCTGCCCGTTCGGTGGCCTCTTGGGGGAGACTTCGGTGAGGAGCCAGGGCGGCTGATCCCGGACGGGTCGCCAGTGCTGGGATGTGCTCGGCCCGGGGGCTCCTTGAAGGCGGGGGCGGTAGCGACAGCAGCAGCGGCGACGTTGGGGCACGCCACGAGGACGGGGACACGCTGGCGGAGCAGGCGGCGGCGGGGACTGAGTGGGAGCCCGGGGCGAGCCCGCGGCAGTTCGGACGGCGGGCACCAGAGAAGGTAGAGGAGGTGAGAGTGGGGCAATGCGGCGCGGCGGGTGTCGGAGCGCCGCGGGCGGCGGAGGGCGTGGCCCGGCGGCCCGCGTGAGGGCGTCCGCCCGGAAGAGCGGTTAAACGGCCGCGCTCTGGCCTGCCTCAGGGCCTTGAGCCTGGCGGGGTCCCTGGTCTGTGGCCACTTGCCTCGAAGCCTCCCACGTAAACACTTCTTTTTCAACTTAACTCTGTCCCCGGGTGCTGCGTTTTAGGGGACAGCCACCCGCCTCCTGCCCTCCATCCAGGCATTTCTGAACGCACCCCTGATGTCGCTGTAAGGTGTGGGTGGATTTCTCCAGACGTTCGGCCGGTGCCTCAGGCGCGAGTAGGAACCAGCATTGCAATAATCGTCTTGGCAGGTCCTCTCCCGAAGCAAGTTCTTTACATGGACCAGACAGCTAAACTTCATTTTAAAAGTAAAAAAATCAAAGTAGCTTTCAGTCTGTACCAAAGGCATTCTAACACATCAGGTATGTTCAAAATTAGGCAAGAAATTTAATAAAAGAAGTTGAATTATATGTGGAATGAACTTTCACCAGAAAATATAATTAGACATTCAGAAATACCCGAAATAAGCTAACTGTCAGAATCACATTAAGGAGCAGGAATTCACATGATCATTTGCCTTTACTACAGCCTATACTGTTGGGACAAACAATTGACACCTGTCTCCTGTCATTACTCTTCTCAATGTCTTTTTTGTTAATTTTACAAACTCCAGTGTCAGCACTAAATGTACTAAGAGATTAAGTACAACTTCTAGTATTATTTCATTTAGGAAACAGAAATAAGTGTGTAGCACATACAAAATAAGCCTTAGCGTTAGGCTTGCTCATCATGTGGAAGTGTAATTTTTCATCTTTATGACAATATAAGACCTGGTGACTGAAGCGAATGATTAGTAACTAGGAAGTCTTCCTGATTCTCTTCATGGTGATTTTCTTTTTTAATCGTGCCTTGACTCAGTAACTAATGGTCTTAGTTTCCTCTTACTGTAGTTCAACTGGAAAGGTGAAGGAGGCAATGGGAACCCACTTGGTGAAGGCAAGAGTTGAGGGGTGGGCGAGGTAAGGATGCGTGGTGGATTTGAGCTAAGATTCCCAGAGTAAATTTTGAAAGGGCTATAAGGGAGCATGTAAAATGCTTTTGTGGCTTTCACATCATCAATTTCTGTGGTCTTACCAAAACTGTTTATGGTACAAAGAAAAAGGCTAAAACAAACAAAAAAGATTGAAACAGTATATTCTAGAAAACATGTGTCACTTTGCATACCTGCTTCTTTCACTGCATGTCATGGGAATTCATTTTCCTGTACTCCTTTGCAAATGTTATTTTATTTTTATCACAGGATTTATTTATGTACCCTAAGTCTATATACACAATAATTGAAAATAACACCCGAGATACGCATTTCCTCCTACATCAGTACCAAAAAAGAATTTATCAAGAGACCAAAAATAAACAAAATATTGGTACAACCCAATCCATTGGTGTAAGAAGCAAGCTTCTGTGATAAATCTTTTCTTGGTAATATTATTATAAAGGCTTGTTTTCCAGCTTTAAACTCCTGCAAATGAAATTTAAAACTTTGTGTGCAATGCCTTGTATTGATGGTAGAGGTAACAACAGATACAAAGATATCTGAGGGAGAGAAAAATGGAATTAACAGCTATAAAGCATATCCTAGGGAGTTTTGTTTAGTTTTTCTTTAGGAAACCAGTGTGTGTTTTTTATTTTAAGGGTAGGTGGACTAAAAATTACAGTATTTTTGAAAACTTGGTTGTAAACTCGTTATTTAAAACTTAAAATGAACTTTTCCATGGAAACAATGATATAAACTGAAACAGACCACAACTAGTTGGCTGGAAATGAGGCAGAGACAGTTTTCCTGCTGTCCTTTCTGCTTAGCAGGATCACTTTGTGTTCCAGAGCTCTGTAGCCGTGCTCACATTGGGAGAGACTTGGCTGCAGGGATGGCGGTGGCAGCTGGAGCAGCGCAGTGGCGGCTCCTTCATATCCGGATCAGGCTAGGGTGGTGTTCTCTTTACCACAATAGCTCCAGAAGGCACCTGACTTTTCCTCCAGCTCTTTCAGTGATTTTTGTCAACCCCCAATTTTCTGTATTAAATCCCTTCCTATGACTATTTCCTTCACAGAGTTTTCTCTTACCTGATAATTTGACGAAGTAGGTTTCTTCCCCAGGCTGAATGCTCCCCTACATACATCTTTTCCTTTGCCAATTTTTCTTTCCTCTTCTATCTGAAAAGCACACACCCTTCCCTCAAACTGGAATGCTCTTGCATCAGATCTGGCTATACAAACTCTGTCTTTGGCTCATCGTCATTATGATACTAGATGGAAGTGTATCTGTATTTTGGTGTTTACTTTATGAAATACTGAAATACTGGTATTAATATGGGTGTTTTAATAACTGAGATATTTGCAGCCCCACTTTTTACAATTTGTCTTTAGATGCCACTCCATCTGAGAGAAAACTAAGGTTCCTCTGTCCTTTTGGCCTGAGTGTTTCCAGGTAAAATGATTGACAAAGGAGGCCTGGTTAAAATCAAGTATCCTAGGAAAGGAAGACTTTAAAGAATGGACCAAGTCCTCAAGATGAAGGAATTGTGTCAAGTTTGAAGTACCAGTCAGTCCTCTCAGAGAGATAAGCAAGGAAAAGAGGCAAAATGCCCAAGGAACTGAATGGATAGGGCACAGTTATCTTACATGCGTGTTTACAAAGAGGTAAAGCCTCTTTGTAATTGTGTGCATGAGAGATTATCCAAGTGTGTTTATGACTATGCAGGCCATGTAACTTTATGTATGAGAGTCTGCCCTGCTGCATAGTTGCAAGATTAAACATCTCGAGTCCGTTTATTATATGTCTGTACTGTGAGTGGCATCCACTTCACCATCTGTATAACCTAAGATAGCCTTGCTTACATGGAGCATACAGAGATCCTATTGTCCTTAGATTGACTTTGAAATCATTATTTTTAGCTTTAAGGTCTTTCTTTATGATTATAAAAGTAATGTGTACTTCAGAAAATGTAGAAATATAGAAAGATCTAAAGAAGAAAACAAAAGCATTTCAAATCCCACACTGAGGAATATTTTGTTACAAAATTTCAGAGATTTGGTATTACTACATTAATATATCTCTATATGTGCATATATGTATATATACACAGAGATATTTTAACATAATGTAGTATTTAAGTTTTATATCTTGTTTTATCTGCTCTTCATGTTTTGTCAATTTCCCATGTTATCAAAAGTTCTTTTGAAATATTTTTAGGGCTGCCTAATAGTCCATGCCTCCAGTACTGCACATTTATGTTGCTTCAGTTTTTCTTTTATAAACAATGCTGTGATGAAAACCTTGTAAATACTCACAGTTCTACCTTGAAATAGATTCCTAGAAGTGGAAGAACTAGGTCAGTGAGTCAAACTGTTTAAAGCCTCTTGAAATATCCTTAAGAATTACATTCAAGAAAGGATATACCAGTGTTCACTTCCAGCATTTGTATGTTAGAGTGGTGATTGGAAACCATCCATGCCAGCAAAGAATAGTAATTTATAGATTAATCTTTGCCAATTTAATAGGCAAAAATTATCAGTGTTGTAAGATGCGGGTGCAAAGGTTTTTTAAATCATATACAGGAGTAGGCACAAGTAGGTTTACAGGTGTTCAAATGGAAAAAGACAAGCAATACAAATAAATAATACAATAATTAATAGTAATACAACTCACCACTGTAAGCCTACATTTTCCCATTGTTGTATGTATGTATGTGCACATATATTTGTACTTCATATATATAAATATTTGTATTTCTTTTTAATAATATTCTTTGACCATATTTTCTTTTGGCATTATTATATTTATTACTTATTTCACATTGATTTAAAATATTTGCCCTGTTTGCTGTTTATAACTTTATGCTGTTTGATTTAGAAATCCTTTAAATTTTTATTAGCAAAAGGCATTTTTTAATTCATAGACATTACACATACATACACACACATACACTCCCCATATATATACAAATATCTGTATATATTTGTTTAGAGTATTCTTTTTCATTCTAAAGTTAATTAAATATCCATCAATATTATCTATCTTCTATATGTATGTTTATGGGGTTTTTTTATCCTATGTATTTAATCACTTTAGAATCACTTTATGTGTAATGTGAAGTATTGAGCTAGTCTTTTATGGTTTTATAATCATTGAAAATCCACTCTGTTCCTGGCTTTACAATCTTTATAATAGTTATAAATACTAAAGTCTGTATTAAACTTTTATATTTTTGTTGGTATTATGAAAGGGATTTTTTTCCACATTATGTTTTTGCTCCTGGTTTCTAGCTATTGGTCCTTATAGAGTTTTTAACTAGCTACTTTTCTGAATTCTTTTATTAGTTTTAATACTGATAAGTAGTAGTGTTTCTTAGACTTGACTTTTTGTATCTTCCAGGTGTATAATCATCCAGTCTATAGACAAGGTTGATTTTGCTTCCTTTCCCGTGGTAATGCATCATTCTGCTTTTTGCAATGCCTGGAACTTTCAGATCAATGTTTTCTCATAGATATTTAAGCAAGTTCATTAACCTCCTGGTCTTCAGTTTCTTCATCTATATAAAGGCAATCATAGTTGTGTGAACCTCAGGGTTTTTGGGAGAATTACAAATTAATAGTATATGTAAAGTACGTAGAGCAGCCCTCGCACATTTAGTTTTTGGACCTAATTTTCAACCAGAACACTGACTGAAAGAAACCTAAAAAATGCCATTATTAGGTTTTTTGGACTCTGCAGTTAGGTCACCTTAGGAGGAAGAGGGAATAGAAGAGTTCTCCTCAGATTTAATCTGTATACAAAGCTCTAGTTAAGTGCAGATTGTAATTTCATTGGTCTAGGGTGAGACCTGACATTTTGCATCTCTAACAAGCTCCCTAGTGATGCTATTGCTGTCT